AAGAGTTTACTCTTCATTAAGAAGAATCAAGTTTAAATATTCAAATTGTAAAAGACATGAATCAAAAAAGAAAAAAAAAGTAAAAAAAGAAAAGAAAAAGAAGTCTAAAACAAAATACTAATGTACAACTAAGAAAGAAGGAAGAAAATGAAAACATATGTTTACTAAAAAAAAAGTTACAAGAACATCTATAAATTACAAAGAAAAAAATAACCTTGAATTAAGACTTCAATACAAGAAAGGCTTTTTTAGTCTAGGCATTACATAGACTAAAAAGGCCCTTGATCTTATTTCTATATGTATTATTTAGAAAGAAGACTATTTAAAAGCTTCCAAAGGATCACACCGGTTATTGGCAAACTTACTGATTTATTGACTTCGTCAACTATTATACTGGAAATTATAACTATATATCCCTGAGTTACTAATAATAATAATCCATCAATCAATTTAAGCAATGAACGTCATATTAAATCTTATTGTGGTACAAGGAAGCTAAACAACGCAGATTCATCACAACTCCAATCTAACTAAAGATAATGAGGATCATTACATACAAAACAAAAACATTTTAATGCGAATGTCAAGTGATCACTGTGAAAAGGATGTCACATATAAATAAGTAAATAAATAACACACTGTCCCCGAATAAAAACAATGTTATATAGTATACTGTGTTAAGAAAAGTAGTGGACTTATATGTTGGTACTTTGCATAGGAGTCATATACTGCGACTATGATAACAACTCAAACATAGGGGAAAATATTACAGTACGTTAAGACACATCAAAAACACTCAACTTCAGATTCTACTATCTAACGTCGTGAAAAGAAACTTAGTTATTCTCATCCAAAACATGAGAAATCCAGCGTCTCCAAATAAAATGCTGCACATCTTGAAAACTCTTAAAATCAATGAAAAACTTCCTAAAGTACAAAGAGAGGGAATATCACTGGCTGAAGAAACACAGCCATACTGAACGCAAAGGTATCTTTCAACAATTCGATGCAATCTAACTAGATACCAAATCCAAACTTTGAAAATGCTCATGTATTATTTGGACGACGAATTAAGTAATTCACTAATGCATTCGCTACATAGTCAACTACTGCAGTATCGTTCGCAAATGCGAAGGGCAGGAGTCCCCCGTTGAAAAATCAGCGCACCCTCCTCGGAAGTGTGGGAACCAGAAGCTGGGGCAGCGGGCGAATACCACACGCACTGCGGCTCCCTTCGCCAAGCGCCTCCCCTCGCCTCGCCTCGCTACTTTCTCTGCACCCGAATCTGCATCCGCATCCGCATCCGCGTCTCTCCCTCAGTCCTCAGTCCTCCTCAGTATGTGTAGCCCTTCACGAACATCCCCTCCCTCGCTTCCTTGGCCTCGCCCTCTGCTGAGTACTTCCCCAGCTGCGCCAACGAGTTCGCCTTCGCCCTCACCAGCAATGCCTTCTTCGCCGCCTCCAGGTTCTCTGGTTGCCCCTTCCACGTCTTCAACACCGAGTTCTGCAGCGCCCTCGCGTACGAGAACGACACATGCCATGGGTTCGGGCTCTGGTTCATCGCATTCAGGTTCAGCGTCGCCTCCACCTCCGACTGCCCTCCGGACAAAAACTGCACCACAACCCCACGTGCTCAGAATCGCCTCCCTCGCCCATCCCCACTACTCATGCGTCGCACCCAACACTCCTGCATCCCCCCCCCCCATCAACCCTCCCACGTTCACCCTCCAATTCCTTGCACCACACTCTGCTTACCATGATTCCGGGCACCGCGGGTGGCACTCGCCTCCTCAACATCTTCAGCGTGTACTCTGCCACCTGCTCCGGGGTGGCTCTCTCGGGGCACTCTGCGCCCGGAGTCACCATGCTGGGCTTTAACAGAATTCCCTCCAGCAGGACGTTGTTCTCGCCCAAGTAGTAGAACACCTTCGACCACACCTTCTCGGCCACCTCCAACGTTCTGTCGATTCCGTGGCTTCCGTCCAACAGCACCTCGGGCTCCACGATAGGCACCAACCCGGTGTCCTGCATTCACACCCGATACTCACCACCATCACGCCTCACATCCTGGAAACTCACCCCATCTTTCACACCCACTGCACTCCACGCAACTACCGCACAATTGTCCAAAAACATACCAATCCACACTCAAGCATCCCACTGTCCTTCAATGCACAGCCTGCTCTCCATGCTCAAGCCCAAGCCCCACATCACAATGCTTCTCATTTCACACCACCCCCGACCACCAAATGCGACCCTCCTCCAGCTTTCGCATTCGTTGCCACCCCCCACGCACAATTACCCCCACCTTATAACTTCCAGTTCGTCGCTGGAAACAATCCCATCCCGCAACGCCAACCTCACTCCTAGCTACCCAACATTCTTGACGTTCTAGCACATCTCTGCCCAAAACCCCTTCCAACAAACACAACGCCTTCCCCCGCCACCAGTTCCCACGTACTTGACAAATAGCTGCGTAACGCGCCAGCCCCCATGCGGCCTCTGTCACCGCCAAATCCGACGGCCCGTTGGGAATGCTCACCACCGTCCTCCTGCACGACCAACCACGCCTACCGCTCAGAGACCAACCCCACACCACACTCCGAGTGCGCCAACACATCCATCCATTCAACAAAAACCCACGCCCACGCCCACGCCCCAAACCAATCCATCAGCATTCTCGCCTCTACGCATCCACCGCACGCCGCGATCGTCACACCACAACAACCATACTGGGAGACCGTTCACACCACCATTCTTTCACCCACCCACTCACTCACTCTCTCACTCACCACTTCGCAAACCTCGCTCCCTGCTTGTAGTACGCCGCTGTCCGAGACGCCAACCCGTCCAGCCCCTGGCACCACGACTCCTCGTTGGATCCCGCCAGAGGCACCAGACCCTTGTCCACCTTAATTCCGGGCACGATCCCTCCCTCCACCAGGCAGTCCACCATCTTCTTCCCGTCGCTCGTCGACTGGTACAGAGTCTCCTCGAACATGATCGCTCCAGAGATGTACTCCCCCAGCCCCGGCGTCGTGCACAGCAGCTGCCTGTACGCCTGCCGGTTCACCTCGTTGTTCTCCAGCCCGATCGACGCCAACCGCTTCCCGCACGTCGCATTCGACTCGTCGATCGCCAAGATCCCCCGCCCGGGAGACGCGATCGTCCTCTGCACCCACCACCCACAATCCAACGCATCAGCCCCTTCTTCCATCGAACTCATACCTACAGCCACTAATTCCACTCGCTCCCCTCTCCCCCCCTCTCTGGCCTCCTAACCATCCGAACCCGCATCGACCCTCAACCCCCCCACACCCACGACCACACCCGAAACGAGCAACATCACACATGTCGCGATGCACCCTGCTCCAAACCCTCCGCAAACTCCATCACCATCGCAAACCCCACCAAACCACCATGGAGACCTACCGCGGTCTTGATGAGCTCCTCGTCGTAACCAGCGGCCCGCACAGCGAACGCCACATTCTGGGGCCGACCCGAAACAGCAGCCTTCTGCTTCAACGAAGCCCCACAGAAACTCGACTGCAGCCCGGAGGCCTGCTGCATCGCGACGGCGGCTGCCATGATTTACAGACGCTGGTGATGCTGGAGAGCTGGATCGTTGCAGACTCTCGTGTTCGTGCGCAACTGCTTCGATCGAATCCGTCAACTGTGGAGGTTCAACCTCTTCTTTTACGCCCTACGATGCTCCGGAGGACGAAAAGTGGAATCTTGCAAGGCAACAACACGAGGAGGAGAGGGGACAAGCATGAAACCAACTCAAGGATGGCTGTACTCCGAAGCACCTCGCAGCGTGGAGGTGGTGTTCCTAAGCCGTGGTATGAGGCGAATGGCAGTCGTTCGATGCGGTCGAGGGGGCTGTGCTACGTATGTCAGGGGGGGCTCAAGGAAGGTGGAATGGGACGGGAGTGCTTTTGTGCCTTTTTCCTGTCAGATGAGCAGCGATGCAACGACCCTTATATTGGGATCGGTGCCCAGGCTTTGAGATCGCCGGTGTCTCTGAAGGAGCAAGTGGGCCATTGATGCCAGCTCGGTTTCGGACCAATTACAAGCAAGGGTACACTAACCTTTAATCAGAAGGTGTCTGATTTTTTTTCCGTTTTTGTACAATTGCGTATTTGTTATATTTCGGGGTACTAGTCAAACCAGATATTCGCTTCTTGGTGTTTTTTCCCCTGCACATCTCCAACGTGGTGTGGTAGTTTGCCGTCAGTTGTGAATCGTTTCAACGCTGTTTGGTCTGCTTTGTGGTCAATGGGTCTATTTTCAATTTGTGTGTTTGTTGCCTGGTGGTTTTCCGAATAAAGCTGACCAACTGCTGAACATCAAAAGCGTGAAATTCGTAAACTATCAGTATCTATTTGCGAGAGGATGTCAAATACGACTCAGAAAGTGAAGGTGGCTGCTGTCGTACGTCGTCGGCGGCGTAATTGATGGTGAGATCTGGTTGCGAGGCAGGTTTTACTTGTAGTGGTTTGTCTTAAGCAATCCAATTCAATCGGGCATTATCGTGTTGCAGAAGTGTTAGTTTATCATTTTGTCTGTTTAGAGCCAAAGTAACAAAAAAGAGTTGTGTAGTAGGATTAGAATGGTATGCATTTAACTATAAATCATGCCGAGTAGAAATGTTTTACATGCATTGGGTGGAATGGGTTTACGACTAGCTGTGATTGCTGTGCGTGTGGAAGCAGTGAGGCACATCATTTTCTATTACTCAACTTTGCAAAACTTAAAATTGACATTGCAAACAAGATTTCTTACCCACATGAAAGTTATCACACATAGCATCGAAATCTAATGCTATGAACTTTTTTTGAATTTCACTGCAAGCATCGAACAGTGTTCCACTTAAAGTAACCTCGGTCCTGTCCAAACGTTTAATATTAAATAACAGAAAAGGAGTAGCATGGTTTGAGAATAAGAATTCAATCTGAAAATAACAAAATAAAATAAAATGAAGTAAAATAAATCAGAGATTCAGGGTTTGCATCCACAGTGCCATGCTTTGTTAGCCTAACCTGTTCATACAAAATAGTGGGAATGGAATGCTGTGACCAAAAGTGTTGCACAGTCTTCAACGAAGAAATATTTTCACTAATTTTTGTGTGGACAGGTTCTGAAAGATGGCACTGAATTTTGCTTCTCTAGAACAGCCGCCACCAGAGCAGCTTGATAATTTCCCAGGGGACTCAACCTCTCATAACCATGATGATCTAACGAGCATGAGTGTCTTTCAAAAATTAAGAAGGTTTTGGGATACTTACACTGCAGTTATACCGGGTTACCATTGATTTCAACTGTCAATTTACTCGTACCTCAAAAACTAGCGGCATATGTACGAGATACATTCTTGATGTACTTTACCAACAATGATACCTGTGGAAGAGACTTATTATCTCATTGATTGACGTAGTTTAATCATACGCTTCAACGCCGTTAACCAGACTCCACACTCATCCCAGTCGCTTGTTGTGAGAGCCACCTGTAGACTCACGCCATATTAATTAATATCTAATTATTTTCAATACATAATTATAACGCAGACTTTCACAGCTCAAAAGTGGGTGGCTATGAACAAGGCCACCTCACGGTTCATTTAGTAATATGCACAGGATTCCCATCATAATATTCAGGTAGACTGTCAGCCAAATTAAAACTCATATTTTTAAAGAATGTACCTGTATTTGCATCGCAGTGCCGTAGTCACCTCCATTTAATGCCTGGCAAAGTTGAACAAGCTTCATAGACGCATTAGCTGACAAGTCCGCAGAGTTTAACTTAACAAAAAGTCCCCCCAACTTCCTGGAATTGTCCTCAATCTCTCGCTTCTTTGCAGGCGGTGCTTTGACTCCTCCGAGGAAAGTAGAAGTCTCATCAAATAATCTCGACAACGTAGTCACAACTGGCTTCAACTCAGCTGGGGACAAATATAATGAATTAATTAGAAATAATAAATCCACCAACAGAATTAAAAGATGTAATCACTAAAAGAGCTTATCTTACAACTATTCATGTCAAAGCTATCATCCTAATTGGAAGAAGACAGGAGCAGGCATAAAATCGAGTGAATACTTAAGTTACCTGCAACATTTGAGGTATCCGCAGTTTGTACTGTGGCAGCTGGTGTGATTGACGGAGCAGAAGTATTGTTGCTTGGAGCTTGGGGAATGGAAGGCTCTTGTGGAACTACCTGCTGCTGTGAAGGAGTGGACACAGGCATGAAGCCTGGAGCCGATGGAACTGTCGGCATACTTGGAAGGGCTGCGCCTGGCATCATGACACCGGGAGCTGGAACAGCTGATGGCATAGGTTGTAGTGTGTTTACATCAGGGTAAGCGGACACTGAAGATGGTACAAAGCTAGGCTGCTGCGCATTTACACCTGTGTATGATTGTCTTGGAGGGCCCTGTTCAGTGACAAAGGGACGTGGTGCAAGATGAGACGCCTCCATGCACCAATCACAACAAAATCTCAAGTTTTTTAGTTTAAAAATACTCTGCACTAGTTCAAGTGTGCACTCTACGTGTCCCCTTGCCCACATGCAGCAGGAACAATTGTCTTTCTCAGTCCTATTTTTGACAAAAATCAGAGATTGTGTTGGCGAACCTGGAAGGATGAGGCAGGAGGAGCTGCAAAAGATGGTTGGAAGCTGGAAGGTTGAAAGCTGGAAGGTTGGAAGGTAGTCGGTGGTGGTAGTGGTGGTGTTGGATTGAAATTCGAAACTGGCGATGGAGCGCTTGGAACGAAAGTCCGAATCGGCTGACTCGGAGTCGAGTAATTTGTCTGCAATGAACAGAAATGCAGCAAATAACGATTGCATCCAACTTCAATACAGTCCAGCTCTACGGTCAAGATATGAAGCATTTTGGGACAACTGAACGTTCAGAACACCTACTAAAAACCATGTCCTTCAAATGCTTAACTAAGTTTCAAACTTAAGAGTCTAAGGAGTTGAATCGATTACCTGAGGCTGATTATAATGGATTGGTGGGATTGGCTGATTGGGAAACAGGTTTTCCATGGGTTGCACGGGTGGGAGATTGTTAGTATAAGAGGGTGAATTCACAGATTCACGGTGATGTGAATCAGGCTGCAGCGACAGAATACTTAGACCGTTAGAGAAAAAGTGAAAACCTCATGTGTTAATTAAGCACAATGTTTGACATAAACGACCAAAAAAAACAAAAAAAAAAAACGCAAAACTTAGAGTTGTGCTTACTGGGTAATATGATGGTTGCTGAACTGCAGCGTTGTACTGATGAACTGGTGCTACAGCCGGCGGCTGCTGCTCTGTTTGGTATGACTTGGGTTCCGAATATGAAGGTACATGCGATTCAATACCGGCCACTACCCAAGCAAAGACATAGATTAGCACAACTTCAAGCCCTCTCACATTAAAACTCCCCTAGCTAGGCTCACAAGATGAAACTAGCACAGATACTGAGACGAAATCAAACGATCTTTCAACCATTAGAAACATCTAAATAGGCTGACTGTCGAAACTCTCTCCACAGCTAAAAATTCATGACTCCTACTTCCGTACAAAGTTTCCCCTAAATTATTCATAAATAGAACCATTCAAATGACCATACCTTGACCACTCTGAGTTATGCGTTCACGTAAAGCTGATAACTCTGGGGATGAATCATCCGATGGAATAAGTTTAATATATTCAAGGGCGGTGGATAGAAGCCCTTGATTTGCAAGTAGTTCTGCATAATAACAGACCAATCTAGCCAAAGATGTGCTGACCTGTTTTGTGCCAGTCGCGAGGCCCAAAACAACAGACTTCTCCATGATATCCTGCATTTCACACCTTAATTAGTATCAATACAACAACTATGAATGTTAAAACCAATAAAAACAAGATAGCTCGGCCCAATTTTTTTGTTTTTTACTATTTATTTTTTTAAAAGGCTGCAAAGCTCATTCACCGACCTGTAGCACATCCACAAATTCTGGTCCACCTTTCTTGGACTTCAACGCTCTTGACCAGATGCCCACAGTTTTATCAATGTTACCAGCACAAATGTAACAAAGTGTGGCTGCTTGAATATTACGGCCAGCATCAAGGCGAGCTCCCAAGGCATCACATAGAGTTATCCAATCCTCACTGCGTGCATACTAGTGCCAGAATCACAATTAAAATCAATTATTCTACTCAGACCAAGTAACCAGGATACATCTGACACCAGAGAAGAAAATTAGAGATCAGAATAACAGTGATACGCATAGAACCTAGCACAGGCGTTACAATGATCACGTACAGTGCAAATCAAAGCCAAAGTTTCCTTCCAGGCTTTGAGAGGCCGGGTCTCCACTAAACCCTGCAAGTCGTTATTCACCACCGCTGAAACAACCTGCAGCCATTTACAGCGCCGCAACGGATACAGGTTGATAAGTATCATATTGATTGGTTATACACCTTTGATTGTTAGAAATTCTCAAATGCCTCGAACTGAACAACTCAAAAAACCGTTCGAAACTGTGGAACTGATGGAATAAAAATGATATTACCTTTAAGTAGGGACGTTTCGTTCTCTGAAAATACTCGTTCTGGGTCTTTTCCCAAAGAGCCGTGCCGCCAACCGCAGCCATAATGAGAGCATCTGCCATACGACCAGCACCTAGGCAGACATCTACTGCGCCTTTGAAGTTACCTGCCACTAATGCACGTTGAATTGCTTCATCCGATTCATTATCTCCATCATTAACATCATCATTCACAGGCTCTGCAACAACAGCCTCAGTCTCGGCTTCTACAATATCTTCCGTGTCATTGGCGTTCGTAGGCGAGGCACTAGGTTCGGTTGGTGTCGGAGGGACCTCAAGCCTATCAAAGAAGTCTTCTCCGTCATCTGCACCCGCTAAAATATTATCATCGAGGGAGACCGTAGGTGAAATTTTTGGTCCTTCAACGGAATTAGTCCCCGTCAACTCCAGATTAGCTGGTTCCTCAATAGCAGCTTTCTCGTCTTCTTGCTCTTCAGATTTATCCTGGTCTAAACCCTGAGATGAAAAACCAAAATGAGCCAACAATTGCTTCCGAGCCTCCTCGTCAAACATAATTTTAAGAAAGCTCCATGTTTCTGCATCCTCTTCAGACCTGCGAGAGTAATGTCCCATGTCACAAGAATTAAGCTAAACCGTTTTTCATAATCAGTTCTGGTCCTCAAAAATTCTCTCCACCAAAGAAAATGATAACCCAAGGGTCGTTAAGGTAACGAAGGAAAATGAATCCTTACACTGCAGCTGAGACCTTCGTCTCGCAAAAATTGCGCAAAGCTGATCTTTCACCACCAGCAATGGCTTCTTCGAACTCAGTAGATCGTTTGGCAAGGCCTTCCTCTGTAAGCAAGTGTTGAATGCGGATCTGAAGAGGAAGCCAAACCAAGAGCAACGCACAATTATTTCATGAACATAAAGCCACCTGGTTCAGCATGGTCTTTGAGTAACACATTGTCACCATTCCATACCTCGGATACAGCAGCAGCAGCTCCTGCAGCGGCTTTCTTGGGTGCAAATGACACGAGCTTTCCTCCAAACCCGAAAGTTGCACCAACAGGTCGTTTCAACCACTTCGGTGCCTTCCTTGAAGCTACAACAAATAATAATACCATCAGTAATAGCAGCAGTCCGCAGCAAGACACGTTGACATGAGTTAAAACTGATGAGTTATTAGGGCCATAACCTACACACATACCTGTAGAGTATTCCCTGCCACCAACAGCTCCACCAAAATAAGAGTCATGTGAAGGCTCTGCCCTGCTGCAAGCCTGTTCATCACATAACATGATAGAAATATTAATTCAAACAACTTATTAGGAGAATAGCATACCAAACGAGATAGATAAAAACAAAGAACCTCTTATGGCTTACCTCAATGTTGTAGATACCAATTTTCCCGTCATAAGATGACGTTGACAATACGCCGGGAATGCCAGGTGACCACTGAACATCGAAGTTCCAGTTGTTGCTGGCAGGAACTTCACATAAGATCTGCAAATGAGTAACAAGTGCTCATAAAAAAAAAGCTGTGTTATGTGATAATCTGAACCGGCTCCCCTCAAAAGATCGTCGTACAAGCAAAAAGATGGATTTTCCTGCAACTTTTCATCAAACCTTTTAGTTCGTAACGTTATGGAAGACAACCTAAAAAATTCAAAGGTTTCTGATTTGTAATTGTCTCTAATACCTCTCCAGATCCAGTGTCCCAACACAATGTCTGATTGTCTTTAGAGGATGTCAACAAAAGAGAGCTGTCAGAAGGACACCACGCCATTGCCAGCACCCCTGCAATCAAAAGGCTAACGGTCAACATACAAGACAAAACATGCAACTATCCTCAAAATTATTCACAAACCACCAAACATGCAAAATACAAGGTGTACCTTTGCTGTGTCCAACAAGCTCCTTGATAGGAGAAACCGAATTTCGTAAGTCCCAGACCTGAAAATACCATGGACAGCTTGTTATTTTAATGCACTAAGAAAGTGGACTGGGATAAGTTAATTAGATCCTCATGGGAATTGTTTCATACCTGCAGAGAAGGTGACCGATCATCATCGGACGCTACAATCAACTGTGTAGCGACTTCTGGATTCCACTGCAATGTGGAGCAACGTCGACGACTGGTGGGATCCGTAAAACTATAGCACCAACATCCAAGCACATAATTTCATTTGACATCGCTGAAAAGATTAGGGAGGTACATTTCTAATCATGTTTTCCAATACAAGGGAACTAAACACTGCACAGGGGTTATGTACCTGATCACTGGTTTGGCACGTCGCAGATCCCAAACAACTATCCCCCAATCACCAAACAAACAAAACCCATATTTAGAATTTGAAATCGAAATGCACCCACTGAGCTGAGCGCCATATGTAAAATTTTATAAGATAAGAGAAGATTTTGACAACTCACCCGAGGTTCCACCGTACGATGTTGACGCAACAATAGGCTGCACCTTCCGATTCCAGGAGACATAACTAATTTGACCTTGAATGGCACCCTGTACATAACGACTGATATCCGAATTAAACACTATTGATTTGAAAATTTTGGTTCAGTAATAGGAGGAGGAAAAACTACTTGCCTTCAGAGGGGGGAAAGTAGACGCAGCAGACGGGGTCGTCAAGTCCCACACAAGCAACTCGCCATCCTCGCCACCAGAAGCTAAAATGTTCGGACTCAAAGTGCTGAACTCTAACCCCCACACCTTGAGTTCCATTAAACAATAATGTTAGTCATATTCCAGTACAGGAATACAAGATACACTCATGAGCACGCAGAAAACAAGGTTATAATCTACTTACATTGCCATTGTGCGCTTGTGAATTTTTGTAGACCAAAGCAGCCTCGTGTTCAGCTGGATCTTCACTGTCAAATACGAAACTCAAACATGAGCCTAGGGCTAACATGCTGATGCGCCAGAGAAACAGCAGACTCGAAAATATGAAGAAGAACAGAAGACACGATACCCCAACGCCTCGATTGCAAATGCATCCAAGATACCGACCTGAGGAGCTTGTGAGGGTTCCAAAAATGAAGTGAGCCATCCGCAAGTCCACCGGCGATCACACCGTAAGGAAATTCCTCCGACGGCCCAGCTCCAATATTACTCCACGTCAAGCGATTGAAGCGCTCAGGAACGCCTGCCGAGCTCAACACTGGCATGTCCAAATCCGTGCTGGCGAAGTCCAACTTGAGCAACTCCAGATTAGCAGATGAGCTGAAGCTCGGATCTATGGCACCGGCCATAGTTCCCACGGCCAGCACTGACGCCATCGGCGCAAATGCGACCGTGGCCGACCTCTGGATCGATTTCAACGCCATGTCTGCTCCAATATGGTTCGGATTCGAGCATACGAATATCAATGTTCAAAATATATCTTCCTTTCTGCCTTTCTCTGCCTCGCTCTAACCCTAGAACTGACACATACAATCCCCTGTCCACCGAAATATCAAACCTGCCAAACACCACATGCACAGACACACAAACCTATACAAAACTGGCAGGGAGAGTGGCGACAAAGGCGAGGGAACCCGACTTCCTTCACACAATGGCGCAAGAAGAAGAAGAAGACGAAGAAGAAGAAGCTGATGAACGAGCCAGCCACAGACGGACCGACCACGTCTGCCCTGGAAGCGACCTATTAATCCTCGTCCCTCTCTCCTTCCTTCGTTCGTCCCTCCTTCATTCGTCCTTCCTTCGTTCGTCCTTCCTTCCTTCGTTCGTCCTTCCTTCGTTCGTCCTTCCTTCGTTCGTCCTTCTTCGTTCGTTCGTCCTTCCTTCGTTCGTTCTTCCTTCCTTCGTTCGTCCTTCCTTCGTTTGTCCCTCCTTCGTTCCGTCGGACGAGACTTGTCGGCGTCATACTTCCGTCTCCTTTTCGCTTGCTTGTCATGTCCTCGCTGTCCCTGCCTTCATTTCTCATGACGTGGCCCGCAGGTGCGCTCCAATGGCCGTGCATAGACTGACGTGGAAGTCCACGTTGGCCGACCATTTCAAACTTCGTTGCCATGCGTCCATGAATAACTCCATGGATTGGTGGTGTACAAAATATATATATATATATATTTTTTTTTCTTAATATAACTGTTACAATGACTATATAGCATATGATTTGCCGGATACTGTGGTGTGTTGTTTCACAAATATTTATTCGTTTCATAGCAATTAATGTCGTTTAGTTTTTATTAAACCATTTTATCATATCAGAAAATCAATTCTTTAAGTATTAGTGATTGATTTCAGACTTATCAGTGACATAATTCCACTTGTGTTTATTATGTTTATAGATATGCTTTCAATATTATTATTTTGTAAAAGTTTTGCTAGTATTGTGTTTGTAGTAATTATGTAATTCAAAACACTCAAATTAAAAAATGCTTGAGCTAAAATAATATTACATGTAATGTCACTTGAAGGTTTTTCAAAATTTTTGTCGTCATATTTTAGTTACAACCACTCAATGAGCTTAAAAGCGCTTAAAAGTTTTTATGATATTTTTATTATGATTGTATGCATATTCAAATTGTATGTAGTAGATCTTCTATTTCATTTGATGAAATTATCTTTGTGGTGTCAATATTTTATTATTCATGGCCCTTATATTAACACACACGTTTATCAATGTCATTAAATTTTTTGATTTAACTACTAATTTGAATTATTTAATTAATAGCTCTATGTGAAATAATTTTATACATAAAAAAATCTAATGTCATCTACATCTTTGTTGTAAGTATCTAAAATCAAGAATATATAATGATAAAAGATGTATAATTATGAAGGAAATAAAGCCACAAAAAAAAATTTAGGATACACATAACTTAAAAATTAAACCATAGAGATTATAAAATTACCTAAAATATGTAAGTTTTTAAGTGAAATATATAAAGCGTGAATTCAAAGGTTGTAAGCATTTATGAAATAGCGTGATGTAGAAACATTGGTGATTTGAGGTGATTGGACGGATTTACTACAATAGAAATTATCTAAGAATGCTTGATTTCTTGTTGCTTCTAATCCTTATGTGGTACAAATCGTATCACTGCATCGGATGTTGTTGTTAGAACATCCATCTTTATTTCATCATCCACGTAGATGATAGTTGTAGTAAGAAATCTCAGATCATATAATTCAGGCTAAGTACTCGGCCCTCAAGCTTGATCTTGATTGTATTTATACTTGCAAAGTCTATAGTTCAATTAGTTGGTAAAGAAGGAATTTGAAATGAGTTGTAAAAAGTTAAGTAGTCTCGTAGAGACTATTGATCAACGAGAGTGTTGCTAAAAGAGTAAAAAGTTGTTGAGGCTAGCGGCCTACTAGGTTGCAAATTCTATAGTAAGGCGCTATGAGGTTGATAAAACGGTGTACAACAGAGATTGTTTGCATCAAGGGATGCGTACAAATTTGGGAATCCACATCCATAACTTGTCGCTGAAGTTTATGAGTCTTTATGGACCTATCAGCAATCCTTGATATCAACGGTATGAGTCTTCAAGATTTGGATCTTGTCAAACTATGGTAGAAGAAGAGCAATAACCTCTCATTCGAAATGGGTGCCTCTCCAATGTGTCCACTCTTATGTGGAACCATCCAAGGTAACAACTTTGGAATAAAATTTTAGATTCAGATCAATTCACGATAGATGAATTAGGGTTGGAATGAATTAACTCTGGATGAATAAAAGAAAGTTGGATGAAAATTTCATAGATGAACTTAAACTAAATATGAATGAATCTTATGGATGAATAAAATTTTAGATGAAATTTTATACTTGGATGAAAATATCATTCATAGATGAGAAGTTATTTGTAAATGAGAACTAATTCATAGATGATAACTTATAGTTAAATAATTTTTTGTTTATATATATATATATATATATATATATATATATATAAGAAAAAAATTCTCAAGGTATAAATTTTTTTAAGTGATTTATTATTATAAGTATTAATTAATAGTGAAGGTTTTGATTAATTACATAGGTAATTTGAAAAGAGTAAAGAGTGATTTGATTAGGAATTGAATAGTAGGTGTAACTTCTAAAATTTATATAGTAATTCACTTGTTGTGAATTAGAATAAACTTCCAAACAGTTGAGGTTTATTTTAGATCACAAGAAGGTAGAAGCAAAGGCAACACTCCAACTATATCTCATCCTAGAATTCTAACACAACATCATTGATATTAGTGACCAAAGAGAAGTATAGAAGTTCCTAAGTATAATGTTCCATACTAGTACAATTTTTGATATCATGATTATATTCAACCATTGGGAGTATCTCTATATAGGCAAACAACCAAATATGACTTCATTCATGTAATAAGTGAATGATATATTATAAAACATCAAGGTCATAATTTAGATATAGTCTCATGAGGTTATAATACACAAGATTCTTAATCCATTGCCTTTGATGGTTTTATAAAATTATTTTATAATTTAAATAAAAAACTATTTTAATCCTAAAAAAGCTATAAAATAGACTTGACATGGCAGATATTAATGCAAGTCTTTGATGGTCATACAAAGCCTCCAATGAAGCCTTTATCATGCAAATCAAGAATTTGTATAGCATATGTTTTAATAAAGAACTAAGGAGGCCAAATTGAAATTGCCAAATTTTTTTTAAACTCTCATTGACACAATGTCCCAAGATTATCTAAAACAAACACCACTATTTACTATCAATGTAAGAAGCTGGGTCACATCTCTCAACCTTGCAAGGCTCCTACCTTAATTCTTTATTAAAATACTCGTTTGAATTAATTATATGTTATAAGAAGAAGTTGTCACAAACATACAAGTGAAGAAGTTTTGAGAAGATTTTAGGAGGCTCTAAAAGATTCTTATAGATCTTAGAAGGTTCAAATAGATTCTAAGAAGGTTCTAAAAGATTTTAGTAGATTTTAAGGTCATAAGAGATCTTGAAAGGTTCTAGGAGGCTTTAGATGATTTAGGAAGTTGCCAAAGAAGAATCTTAGGCTTGCTTTGTTCCCAAGCCTCATGAAAACTTCTCAAGAAGCTTCTTATGACCTAGTATATACAAGAGTCGGAGCTGAAAGGATCTTCAATCTCAACAACTTATTTCTTGTGGTCTAGGCAAAACCTTTTTGCCTTGTATCAAGTTATTATTCTAATGATGAGCTAATTCCATTTCTTGGTCTTGAATCCTTATCTTGTATGTAGTCTCTAACAGTTTGTCCAAACTACGATAAAATAATATTAGAAGCTTGGTCTTTTTTGACAGAGAATAGATTAGTCTTCTTTTTAGAAGTACTATAGTATTCTAGAGGTTGTAGATTACCTTCTCTTAGACTAATATTGTTCTTTTCATAATATTATCTTGATTTTTTTTTATTTCATAGATCAGGTTTTTTTTTCTTTGAATGTGTGTATTTCTCTGATTTTTTTAGCAGAAGGTAGAAAAGTCAATATGACAGACTCCAAAGAGATCAAGTTAGATTCTATTATTAATGCTCCTAAAGCATTGAAGATCATGACAAAGACTTTCTCAAAGCAGAATAAAAATCTATATATGACCATACATAATAGTCAAGGAGCCAAAGTGCCTCAATGACCATATCAAATGATAATAGAGGTTCCAAATTTTCAAACGACTATATTTGCTTCAACAAATATGGGAGGTGCATCCACTAAAGGCAATGATTTGACAACAATAATAGCAAAAGAACGAAAGATCAGCCTTCTAAAAAAGTTTGATGGCACTTGTTCAAAATTTTGTGGCTTTATAAATCAAGTACAACTAATCACCTTACTTCAATTTCAAAAATATTCCACTAAAGCATCTTGTATTGGTTTGGTTGGAACCTTATTCTCAAATCAAGCTTTATCTTGGTTTGTTCTATTATTTGAAAAGAATTCCTCTATATTATATAATTTTGAATCATTTTTGGAATATTTGTGAAAGCATTTGGTAAACATCGTAAGATTCATTCTTCAACAACTAAAATTTGAAGCTTTCAATAAAAAAACATATTCTACATCAACGTATGCCTCAGATTTTCAACAATAAGCATATAATATAAATTAGAGAGAAGATGCATTAATGAGTCAATTTCATTGGAGATTAAGAGACGATGTCAAAGACTTATTGTTATCTATGCCAAATCTTCAAATATTCAATAAAGCCATTAGTTAAGCTATAAAGTGTGATAACCATTTATTTCAACAATGATAAAGTTAAACGCTCTTCAATTATGCCACATATATATACCTATTATTTTGCAGCTTCTTCACCATTCAATTGTAATGAGCATTTGGAAGCAGAAGATATGCAAATTGATGCAGTTTGCTTCAAACATCTTTTTGAGCAAGTAAAAAAGTATCAAATGAAATTTTGCCTATACTTATATTGTGAAAAATCTGGCCATAAGGTTGATAATTATTTAAAGAGATGCTAGCATACATATCAAATTAGACATGCAGCCATATTATCAAAAGTTTTATAAGAAAACGAGGGCATTCAGCCACAATAGGGACAATGTGGCTAAATTCTTCACTATCACAAATCAAAAAAGGTCCTGTATTTTTTGTGAGCCCTTCTCGTTGTTTTATTATACATGTATACTTAGTAGTTACAAAATT